TCCTCACTGTGCCAGGAAAGCATGCCCGCGTTTAGGACACACGTGTTTTGGGGTCGTAGTGGTATTGGAGGAAATTCTGCTTTTTCTTGCCGTGACCCCCCCCCCCCCCCCCTTTTTTTTTTTGTTTGGACGTGAGCGGTACGTTTACTCTCTGAAGTGTATGCTCCAATAGCGATTCTTCCTCGCCAGCTTGTGCGATCCATAGCAAGTCTTTCACACAGAGTTCAGATCGACGTTTATGGATTTGATGGACACTTTTAGACCATCTTTGAGCGCTTTATTTTCTACCCGCCAGCTGAGCGTTTCCCTCTAGAAAGTTCAGCGTACAATCGCTGTTTAAAAATTCTGCTGTCTGGGATTATTACAACATGTCCATCTGGCGTGTCCTTTTTTTGTGTTTTTACGAGTGAATGCTGAGAAAAAATTTGTAGGTTAGGGTATCTGCATAGTGTGTGTTACGAGTCCGTTCTTACCAATTTCGTTAGCTTCGTTTGTCTAGGGGTTATTATATTTACTTCAAAAGCCAATGCTTCACAGAATAAAGTATCTTTAATAACCAAACTACATCGTCAACTGCCATTACTCAAAAAAACAACAAGCCCCTAGCACAACAATACGTCATTTCCCCTTACACACAATACGTACAAAATACCAAACTTTTAAGTGTCAACACCTACCCAAATACTCTCCAAACAACACGCAATCACAATAAACATTCAAGTCCTTTTTAACAGTGTGAAGCTAAGACAAATTATCTGAGACATGTAAGTCTTAAGACAAGGCATCTGAGACAAAATATAGACAGGGAAGAGCTCATTTCTATGTTCCATTGACTCGATTTCCCTATTCCTGGTTGAATCATTACACGGGGGCTGTTTCAAACTGAGATATCTCTAGTCGACAGAATTGCTATAACTTTTGGCTGCACCCTACACACGTAAACAAGGACGTCCTCGGATCTTGACAGTATCATTTTAAGCATGTGGTATTCGCTACGGTTAAAGAAGGCGATCAAATATCATGAAAGCAATGGGTGTCATTGTTCGGCGAGTCACGATTCTTTGGTTCCCCGATTCTGTGTTGAAGTCATTGAAACTCTGCAAAAGTTTTATTGTCATGCAACCAATGTGGAGTGAATTAAAGAGGAGTACCCCGTGCTTACTATTGTAGACTTGCTGTTATAGATCGCTGGAAGGTTTCTAAGTAAACAATTCACTCCAAAGCTAGCAGTAAATAATTACTTATGTCTAGATTATTGTGGCTATGGGTTGGGGAAAGGAGGGAGGGACCCTAGGTGCGAGTTTTTGGGGGGCGAGAGTGGGCGAGACTGTATTGGGAGTTTTGGTTTCTCATCGGGTGTTCTGTGGTTGTAATCAAAGGCCCCCCTGACTCCAACCATTAAACGGTCTTTTAAACGATTACAGAATGGTGTGCGTTCGACATCCAACAGAGTTTAGAACCCTGTTCACCTAAGCTCTCGGACACTCTTGGGTAAAGGTGACGACCCTGACTTATGAGCTGTCGTTGTTGCAATACAATAAAAGTAGGCTGATTGCACGCATTCCTCGACAGACTTTAAATTACCCCTCCCCCCTCCCCCCCCCCCATAAACGTGAATGAACTGAACACGTGACGGCAACAAAGTTAAGAACCAGCTACCCAGGATTCCCGGGTTCGGTTATAGAGCAGATGGGCGACACAATGATATCAAAATAAATGGACAACACAATCTAGAGTTAACGGACCTCACAGTGATCTATAGAATCAAGATCAACCTATTTCGATGGAACCAAGGGAATGACACAATCATATACATGTGTATATATATAATATATATATATATTATATTATATATATATTATATATTATATATATTTATATATATATATTATATATTATGTATATGTATATATATATATATATATATATATATATATATATATATATATATATATATATATATATATATATAT